CGATGGCGACTTGGTTGGTTACCTCTTGGTAAACCCCAAGCCTGTCCCTTTCATCCAAATGAACTTTTTTCACGACAGCATAGTTTTTCTTGTTTAGATATGCACAACCGCCTTCAGATGCCCAAATCTATTGACGATCCACTTTCCTATCTTTTGAACCTCTTACCACCAACATTCCTTACCAAGAAAGCGAGAAAATCAATCGGTGCCTGGCTCATGCGTTGGCGTTCCATATGTGCAATATTACTCGAAATGGACTACTTAGCTCACTCTCAGTTTCCTGAAGCTTTAAACCATCTTGGTGAACCCTTTATCAAACGTCCTCGTTATATTCAGTAAAAATTTTCAGATAGTTAATTATCATCCCTAATACGTAATACTTTCACATTTTCCCTTTAATCCCAAAAGGGTTTTTCATTCCTTCTCGCTGCGATCTGACCCGGGCAGTACAGCATGAGGATGCTATGTGCTCATCGGTCATTAAAAATTATTATCAAATAAAATTATTCTTTTAATCGCAACTAAACATTTTTGTTAACGTTGACTAATATATTCTAGTAAACTCTTTCACTTGTCAGGTTGTGACTTCGGCCTTGACATCTTTCTGACCTTAAATTTTGCAATTTTTAAATAAGATTTGCCCTAAAAAAAATACTCTTTCACTCAGCGCGTTAAATAAATCCAGATGGCATTGCGTGTACCCAAAGGAACTCTTCCTCAGTTATTCAAAGATGGATATAAAGTAATACATTTAAAGGATCTTGTAGATATATTCTGTACTAATCCAATATAGTTTCAACAAGGAGTAGAAGAAGCTGTCCTTCGAAATATTGAGGCTACTCATGAACTTTCAGAAGTTGTTAGAACTTCTTTAGGCCCTAATGGTATTTTATATAATCATCTTCGATATTTTTAACTAATGGCTTCTTATTTTAGGTCGTAACAAGATGATCATTAATCATCTGGAAAAGCTTTTCGTAACTAATGATGCTGCTACCATCATCCGTGAGCTTGATGTTGTTCACCCTGCTGCAAAGCTCCTTGTTATGGCTTCTCAACAGCAAGAAAGTGAAGTAGGAGATAACACTAACTTGGTTATTGTGCTTGCTGGTGAACTTTTACAAAAAGCAGCTGATCTACTAAGACTTGGTCTTCATCCTTCTGAAGTGATTCAAGGTTATGAATTAGCAAGAGATCGTGCCTTATCTATTCTTGAAGGTATTATTAATATACTTATATTATATATTAACCTAATTTTTATATATTAGAATTGACCGTCGGCAAAGTTGAATCATTAACATCACGCGATGAGCTTTACAAGATTGTCAAAGCAACTATTTCTTCAAAGCAATATGGTTATGAAGACTTTCTGGGAGGTTTAGTGGTGGAAGCTGCTTTAAACATTATGCCAAAGAATCCAAAAGACTTTAATGTTGATAATGTACGAGTTGTAAAGGTGATGGGCTCCAGTATTCACGAATCTCGTGTGGTTCGTGGTATGGTCTTTGGCCGTGAGCCCGAAGGAATTGTACAAAATGCAAAGAATGCCAAGGTGGCTGTATTCACTTGTCCTTTGGATATCTCACAAACAGAGACGAAGGGAACTGTCTTAATACACAATGCTCAAGAAATGTTAAACTTTAGCAAAGATGAGGAAAAGCAGGTAGAAGGTATCTTTAAGGAACTTGCCGAAGCAGGCGTTAAGGTTGTTGTCACTGGTGCTGGTATTGGAGAACTTGCACTTCACTATTTGAACAGATACAACATCATGGCTGTCAAGGTGCTGTCAAAGTTTGATTTGCGTCGTCTCTGTCGGGTGATTGGAGCAACTGCACTAGCCCGCTTGGGTACACCCACAGCTGAAGAGATGGGTGAATGTGATATAGTTGAAACTGTCGAAATTGGTTCTGATCGTGTCACTGTTTTCCGTCAAGAAGAATCTGACAAGTCTCGTACAACGACTATTGTCATTCGTGGTGCTACACAAAATCACATGGATGACATTGAACGCGCTATTGATGATGGTGTCAACGTGATTAAGGCTGCTACCAAAAATCCTCTGTTGTTAGCTGGTGCAGGTGCTGTTGAAATGGAATTGAATAAACGTCTTCAACAAGTTGCTGCAAAGACGCCTGGGTTGAATCAACACGCCATCAAAAAATTTGCTGAAGCTTTAGAAGTCATTCCTCGTACATTATGTGATAATTCTGGTATGGACGCCACTGCTGTTCTTTCTCGTCTATATGCTGCTCACTATCAAGAAGGTGATGCTGGATTATGCACTGGTGTTGATGTCGAGAATGACAATGACGGCACTGTGGATGCCTCAAAGGCAGGCATTTTTGACTGTTTTGCTTCTAAGCACAATGCTATAAAATTAGCAGCTGACACAGCGATAACCATTCTTCGTGTGGATCAGATTATTATGTCTAAACCAGCTGGTGGTCCAAAGCCACCCAAGAAGCAGGGCCACTGGGATGAAGAAGATTAACTAAAATAAACTTGCTTCGTACTTGTTAAAAACTATATGCTGTTTTCTTTTATTTCTTCTATTTTATTGAGCATCCATGTCAAATAAGTACATGTTAACATAAAAAAGTAACCCTTGTCAAGTATGCGAAGGAAAAAAGTATGTGGGTGTTTATTACCTTAGAAAAGGACATGGTCGATATGTCTATATCAACAACATAAAGCACTACTGAAAGAATAAAAAAGATTGAAGTCGCCTTTATCAATCAAGGAAACATGTAGAATTCATAAATCCAATGAGAGAGTACAGAAACATCTTACGATAACGATGCAAGATGATCCATTCGTAACATACGACCGTCTGAGATTAGAGTTGCATAAAGTAGATATAAAGGTCTGCAGACTATTATCAGCAGTTTAAAGAGGATAGAGTTTGGTTCGTACTTGCATGCTCATAAACCAGTATTGACAGGAGAGCACATGAAGAAAAGGCTTTACTGAGCCCATGGACATATTCACTGGACGGATGAACAGTGGTCTAACGTCGTTTGGGACGATAACTCTCGGTTCACCGTTACCATTACTGATAGTGGCGCAAGAATCGTTAGAGAAATTGACGAACAATACGATGCGAAGAATATTGCACCAGCAAAGAAGTACGGCGAGGGAGAGCGATGATCTAGAGCTGCTTTCATACAAATGATTTTGGCCCTTTAACCTAGGCTGACGGTGCAAGTTGATCAAAACAAATATACCAATATTTTAGTCCAGCATTTCCATCCCTGATTCAGTCAGGCTTTCCAACAAGAGGACAGGGGCTTCATATTTGAAGAAGATGGAGCTTACTGTTATACAGATAGTTATGCTCAATGGTAGAAGGAAATATGCCAGATCAAGGGCTTTGATTCGTTTTCTTTTTTTTTTGCTTTGTTTTGTCTAGTCACTACACATCCTAGGAGACGAAGGAGCAGGTCAAAAGTAAGATCGAAGAGCAAAGGGCTAAATGGATCTATTGGCGTAAACCTTATAGGGCTTGGTTAAGAAGCTGCTGACGTTGATACTTACCTGAATGGAAAAGAAAAAGTTCATGATGGAACTAGTCAACTGAGAGGGCAAATCGAAATGAGACAAGGTTTGAGCAAGATAATTGGGCTGAACACGGCCATGAGTATTTTCTTGATCTAAAAGCAGCTCCAACGGCAGAGGAGTTATTGAAGTAGGCAGCAGCCATTGTGAGAATATCCAAGGGTCTAGAATTTAGTAAACGGGTGAAAAGTTTGGCATAGATATTGATGAGAGCAACTGGACACCAATTTCAGACGGCTCAAATTGACAGCGGACTTCTATTCTTTCTTTCTTTCTTTCTTTCGCTGTCTCTGTCTTCACCATGGGATTACTTCATCCTATAGCATACATTGCAACTGGTCTTGCATTTTGTTTCTTTATCTTTAGCTTAGGTAAATTTAATACATGTCTAAGCGTTTGGAATATCTTATATATAGACACACGCGTGTTTAACATTTGATTGTTAGCATGTGGTCTTTACTATTTAGCAGAATTGGTTAGATCTACCTATATTTAGTATAATATTAAACTCTTTTATTAGGTAGAGGAACACTCTGTCTATACAAAAAAAATGATTAGAACAATGACTTGTGTATGATTATATATGAAGGATGTACTTCACATTCTATTAACACATACAATAGGTTGTCATTTCATTACATGTGTTATTTTGGATATTCGATCGTCTACCATTCTTCTACTTGTTATTCTCAGTCCTATGTCATTTTGTCTATAGTCTCAATTTGAAGACGTTTCCTTTTATCAACCTATCCAGTATTGCCTTTATTAGCAGTTGTAGTAAGTTTGTATGATTTATAAATGAATTGATACCAACTCTCTTCTCATTCCTAAATAGTATTGGTGTTTGCCGATCATTTTTTATGGTTTAGATACTTTACAGCCCATTATAAACCATTTATGGACATTGCTGCATTTTTCGGTCTTTGTGTATGGCTCGTACCCTTTGCTTATTTTATCAGCTTGAGTGCAAATGACAATGCATTACCTATAAGTGGTATGTAGTTTAAGTTGTATGAGAGCTTTGATTAAATTGTATATATTTATAGATCCGTCATTTGTCGATAATATCCCTCATCAACATAAGCAGGGACTATTAAAGATTTTGTTGGGTTACTTTGGAATTAAACAACAAGAAGTGCCCAATGGAAGTCTTGATTATACCAACAACACAAATTATCACCGTCCTGCTACAAACACTATTACGACTCCTCATGAAGGAATACAAAACAGAAAGGCAATCTAAATAAAATACACTTTATTTATTTTCTAGTCGACACTTTTTGAATTTTAGATATACAACTGGAGCAAAGGCATCATCTGAGTGAGTGATGTATTCGACTTCCTCCCTAGAAAGAGAAAAAGTCATTACTTGTGTATAATTTAGTTAGTTTACTTACGCAACAATACGCTTTTTAAACAACGGACAATCCAGAGTGAACGTTTCGTATTCACCGCCTTCACCACAGATATGTGATTCATATTGTTCATTCTATTGTAACGAAAATGAAGTAGGTCAATGACTTTTTGATTCATTCTTTCTCTTTAGGTTTACCAATTGAACTAGTTTAGGGTACATTTCACTAATCGTTTTACCAAGATCATTTGGCCCTAATCCCATTGCAGCAACCTTTATCAAGATAGCATTTACACCTGAACTTGCCATTTCTGCTAATAACTCTTTCTGATCTCTTTGCCACAAATAAGCAAAAGATGTCAGGCCTAATCGATCACAACTATAGATTGTTTCAGTCATTGGTCCTTTATATTTATGCCGTGCTCTTTTGTGCGTTCTATTTACACGTTTTCCACTCTAACTTTCTGATAGCTTGATAGGATTGCCCCAACAGAGACACCCTTTACATCTGGATGTTTTTCCTACGTCATGTATGAATTCATTGTTTTGATACACACACACATACACACACAACTTACGAGAACTTCTTTCAAGAGAACATAAAGATCTTCTGTTTCGTCTTGAGGCGTAACCTCATAATTTGCACCCTGAGCTATGGCTGTGCCTGTGATCTCACGTCTATAAAGAGGAAGCTGCATACAGTCTGCATAAAAATCGATAGCATCGTGACCAACTGTTTGATACATAAAACTATCCAACTCGTCTAAATAATTCTACTGTTAATCAGCATAAACCACTTTCTCTTTTTTTTCTTCTAATATTACCTTTCTCTGATCCAGTAGGAGGCTTTAAATTAGCCAGTGCCACAATCTCATGCCCATTAGAGACACACTGCATCATGTTGTAACAGCTGTCTTTTCCACCACTGTTATTTAGTATGAGCTCATTATACCTTATGCATACTTTTCATTTTTGTTGCACTTTCCTCACTAAACCAATGACCTTCATTTACTTAAAAAAAAAGAGAGAAAAAAGGTTTAAAAAAAAAAGAGAGATTGGCCTTTTTGCGGAACAATTTTCTTAGCCACATAAAGTACTTTTGTTATCTTTGTGTGTGTGTATTTGTTATACTTATATGTGTGTGTTTGTAGTAAAATTTGTTCCGCAAGCAAAAATAACTAAGCAATAATGTCCAAACAATCATGCAGTCCTTTTTTTCTTTGTTTAGACACGCTTTTATTTTAATATGGCCGAATGCACAGGTTTAGTAAGCTTTTCATTATTATTATTCATATTCACTCCAACGGAGATTGGCGGTAACATTAAGCGAATCATGGCAAAGGTAAAATGATTCAACCTTATCACTAATAAAATCTCCGAGATTTATAAGCAAATTCAGGGCCAAAAATCCACACAATTGGCCAAGGAGCGTGCCATCGAGGAGAAACAAGAGTGGATATATGTGTATATTTCTAATCATTAGTCATTCATAACTAATAATTCTCCTTAAACATAACTTGTTTGTAAGCTTATTTAAAACGCGGTACCTACCTTCACTCACTACATCTTAATGGACCCAACCCCCCAAAAATAAAGCCTGACAGCCATATTTGATTCACCGACATCGTCGAGGTTAAATAAACTTTTTAATAAATTCCTTTGTCTTTCTCTTTTCTTTCCCCACCATTTTTTCTTTTCTTAAAGCCATGGTTCAATCTGCCGATCAAAGAGCTATCAACACTGTTCGTTGTCTTGCTGCCGATGTTGTCAAGGGAGCCAATTCAGGCCATCCTGGTATGATGCACACATAACGTTTTATATGCATATTCTTACCGTCTATTCAGGTGCCCCAATGGGCTGTGCTCCCATGGCTCATGTCTTATTCCACAAGTTTATGAGATATAATCCCAAAAATCCTAAGTTTATCAACCGCGACCGCTTTGTTCTTTCCAATGGTCACGGCTGTGCTTTACAATATATTATGCTCCACCTTGCTGGTTATGATGTGACTATGGATGACCTCAAAAACTTCCGTCAGCTTGACTCAAAGTAAGCCCACAAAAAAAAAAACGCGATTCCTGATTATCGTCGGAGTATATGGGTTGTCTTTTTAACCATTCACATCTTAGAACTCCCGGTCATCCTGAAGTGAACGATACTCCCGGTATTGAAGTCACAACTGGTCCTTTGGGTCAGGGTAAGATAAAACGATTAAAAAAACAATCCTGGGAATCAGTCATCTAAAAGATCAAAACAGGTATTTCCAATGCTGTCGGTTTGGCTGCTGCTGAAGCTCACTTTGCTGCTACTTACAACAAGCCCGGTTACGAACTTTTCAACAACAACACCTTTGTTATCCTTGGTGACGGTTGTCTCCAAGAAGGTGTCAGTGCTGAAGCCATTTCTCTTGCTGGGTAAGTTGTACTAACTGAAGATAGCTTACGAGAAAATGATCTAACTGATATATAGTCACTGGAAACTTGGCAAGTTGATTGCTCTCTATGACGATAACGCCATCACTATTGATGGTTCCACAGAAGTTTCATTCACTGAAGACGTTCTTCAACGCTTCCAAGCTTGTGGATGGCACACACTCGTTGTCAGCGATGGTGATAACGATGTTACAGCTATTCAAAAGGCTATTGAAGAAGCCAAGAGCGTGACTGATAAGCCTACTCTTATCAAGGTTAAGACTACCATCGGTACGGTTTTCTTTTAGTCACTGTAATAATCATTGTCATCTGATAAACGCAATAGGTTATGGTTCATTGAACCAAGGCGAAGAAAAGGTTCATGGCTCTCCCCTCTCAGGTAAGGAAAAAGAAGAAATTAATACTGAATATGTGTTATTAAGTCACTGTGTAGATGCCGATATCAAACAAGTTAAGGAAAAGTTTGGTTTCAACGGTGATGAAAAATACAGCGTCCCTCCAGAGGTAGAGAAGTCAAATTAATGCACATAAAGAATGAAGGAGCTAATATATGGTTTAGGTCTATGATTTATATGCTGCCCGTGCTGAATACGGTGCCAAGGTTGAACAGGAATGGAACGAACTCTTTAGCAGATACAAGTCTGAATACCCCGCCGAAGCAGCTGAAATCGAACGTAGATTCAATGGCAAGCTGCCTGAAGGTTGGGAAGCTGCTCTCCCTCGTTTCACTCCTTCTGATGCACCTGTTGCCACTCGCAAGTTATCTGAAGGTGTCCTTACTTCCCTTTCCGAAGTTATTCCCGAACTTTTGGGTGGATCTGCCGATTTGACCGGTTCCAACTTGACTCGTTGGAAGAAGGCCGTTGACTTCCAACACCCTTCCACTGGCCTTGGTGACTACACTGGCCGTTATTTCCGTTATGGCGTACGTGAACATGGTATGTTTGCCATCATGAACGGTTTGACTGCCTATGGTGGTAACATTCCATTTGGTGGTACTTTCCTCAATTTCTTGACCTATGGTTGGGGTGCTGCCCGTCTTTCTGCTTTATCTCACTTCCGCGTCATCTATGTCATGACCCACGATTCTATTGGTCTTGGTGAAGATGGTCCTACTCACCAGCCTATTGAAACCTTAGTGTTAACACGTGCTACTCCCAACATGCTCACTTTCCGTCCTGCTGATGGTAACGAAGTTTCAGGTACATACCTTGTCGCCCTCGAAAATGCACACCGTCCTTCAGTCATTGCCCTCTCTCGTCAAAACCTTCCTCAACTCGCTGGTTCATCTGTCGAGATCGTTCGCCGTGGTGGTTATGTCCTTCAAGATGTCGAAAATGCTCAATTGATCTTGGTTGCCACTGGTTCCGAAGTTTCCTTGGCCGTTGATGCCGCTAAACAATTGGCCGCTGAAGGTGTTGCTACTCGTGTTGTGTCTATGCCTTGTACCGAATTATTTGATGAACAACCTGAAGAATACAAGAAATCCGTTTTAGTTCCTGGTGTGCCCATCATTTCTATTGAAGCACTTGGTACCACTGGCTGGGAACGATATGCTCATGCTCACATTGGCATGAAAACCTTTGGTGCTTCTGCACCTATCAAGGAGCTTTACAAGAAATTCAATATTACTGTTGAAGCTACTGTCGAAAAGTCTAAGAAGGTCCTTGCTTACTATCAAAAGGCTGGTTATGTCCCTGAAGTCGGTCTTGATTTCTAAATATAATCTCAATCCAAGAAATATTTAACTTTCATTAATCGTACATTTTTATTACAATATTCAATAAAAAGAGGGTTTCTTTTTGCGCTTAATATCTTTAAACATCATCATCATCATCACTGGATGAAGATTGATCCTGCTTCTTTTGTTCACATCGCAGTTGCTTTGCATATTCAATATCTCGATAGATGCATTCGACTGCATTCCTTGTACCATGTTCCTGTTGTACACACAATGTGTTGATGACGAGCAAAAATGAAACATATATGACTTACCTTTCGAATTGTTTCACCAACAGCTTGTGCCCTGGCTATCATGGCCGTATTCTGAGTTACAGTGGTGAGGGCAACTTGTAACGCTGTTTTCGTCAACTTTGTGATACACACACCGACCTGTAATTCCTCTACACGCTGTCCCCAAAATCGCTGATCACCAAAGAACGGTTTGATAACAGTGGGCAATCCGGCCCTCAAGCCTGCAGCCGTTGTGCCTGCACCGCCATGATGGACAACAGCTTGTATCCTTGAGAACAACCATTCATGAGGAACAGACTCACAATGATAGATTGTTCCAGGATGCTGGTCTAGGAGCGAGCTACTGTCGTCTTCTTTGTGCCTACCAGACCACCCTTTACAGATGATCGCTCGCACATTCGATTTCAAAACGGCATCTACGATTGTTCGCGTTGTCTCTCCCGGATCAGGCACAATAATGGAGCCAAAGCCAATATAGACGATTGGCCGAGAGTCCATGGCCGTTAAGAAATCGGTCAACTCATGAGGAGGTGTCCACGCCTGAGAACTATCTAGAAACCAATAACCAGTACAGTGTATATAGTCAGGCCAGTCCTTGGGTGGATGAATGACGGATGGACTGAAAGAATAGAGATAAGGCACCTTGTCGAGTTCGAGTCTGTCCAAAGTAGTTATAGGCAGCTGGAGGACCTTTCGACGAAACCGGTTTATGTATCGAGCAGTTCCTGCCCAAAGAGCCATTTCAATCATGACATATGTCATATCATTGTATATACGTCCGCCTGCTGTTGACTGAACAGCAAATGGATGAGGAAACTTGCCTGTACGACTAAATGGGAATGGCATGCTACGAAAGTAGGGTATCTCTATCATGCTGTTAGCTTTCTCTTTTTTTCAAGAAAACTCTGGTTTATACCTAGTTTCTCAGCAATATGAACACCAACCATAGCACTGGGACTTTCAATCAGTAAGTCTGTTCCTTGGCATGCTTCATAAGAATAGACGAGCAACTCCTCAAGCCAGTTATAGAACTAAGAAGGATTAGACCGGTGCATAAACGTACTCTTATCACTTACGAATTTGGCGCCTTCTCTAATAAAGGAGACAGATAGAAAAGAATTGTCAATACAAAGCTTCTATGTACAAGATGACTGTAAGTCAACTATGTTTTTCTATATATTTCTTCAATTGCTCTATAATACCATCAAGTCACCAGGATCACCACCAACGGACCGAAATTCTATATCATTCTGCTCTATCCATTCTTTATACTCAGGATGTGTTGCTATTCGGCACCGGTGGCCATCTTTTTTGAGTTCTTGGCATAAAGCCAAATAGGGTTGGACATCACCTCTTGAACCAATGGTTAAGCATGTGATATGCAATGGTTGTTGAACCTGCTTCTTTACTTGACTGGTATAGAAAGATGATAGTGAAAGTAAAGGTGGACCCTCTTGTTTAAATGATTGTTTAATAAAAAATAAGGAAATATGTTCAATGTGTAAATACGTACCATATCCTAACGGAGGCCTAACCGGCTGAGGTTTATCTAAATCATGATTATTCTTTAAAAGAGATTCTTTAGAATAAATAGAGCTAAAAAAAAAAAAAAAAAAAAAAAAAAAAAAGAATTAAGAGCTTGGAATACATACATCTTCAATTTACCTTGTGTCGAACGCATCATCAGTCATAAGCAAGCATACGTAAAAGCAATAATCACGAAGCTCAATAGATGAAAATTCAAAGTATACCTATGCATATATGTATTTGTGTACATGTTATGGTCACCAAGCATTTTTATATAGATACCTCATCTGGCATATCTCTAACTGTCATTGTTAGTCCATAGACAAGATGGAAACTCTTTGAATGCATCCTATTGACCTGAACTACATCTTTCCAAGGTACGACTAATTTTTGCTTCCCAACTGCAACATTTGCATAAAAACAGAGGTGTCGATCGGTAATATACATTCTCCCATAATGTGGTATAGTACGCCAAAATGAGCATTTGAAAGCTATAGAAACATGAGGTAAGTTTATGAAAAGCGGAGAGTTTAACCAAATATTTACTTGCATCTACTTTTTCCACATTTAATAGCATAGGAAAGTGCTTATCCAGTCGCTTATTCATGGCTGCTTGCTCCTGCTCCAGTTCATAAGGCGATTTATGCTGACTTATTGGGACTTGGTAATGCTTCTTTAATAGACCAGATAGACACGGGCTAACCCATATTTCGCCCACTGGGTGATCTTTTGAAAGGGTCTTTCCTTTATGTCCACTCGATAGTAACGAGCTTATACTTGTTGCTCGGTAATGTCTGGACTTACTTGGCTGTGGTTTTAAATAAGTTAAGGACGTAGAGTATGTTGCTGCATTATTAGGATTTGAGCCTTCATGAGAGTTACTGATCTTATTATAGAGATAGCTAGGCGTTATATATTGTCTCAATGTACTTAAAGAGCCACTTCGGTGATGTCGTCCTGTAACGGACGATTGTTGGGATGTCGTATCCGAAGCTTGACTCAAACTTTCTTCAGGCTCTTCCTCATTTTGATGCTGTCCAATTATCTTATTCATAAACACAGTTGGGAGAGCAGCAGGAGAGATGTTTTGTAGGAAGTTGTCAAAGCTTAAAAAGGAACTATATGTAGGAGAAGTTGGTTGTTGTTGTTGTTGCTGTTGCTGTTGCTGTTGCTGTTGCTGTTGCTGCACTCTATCCTTGTATTTTGGATTGTTTTTCCACGCATCCACGATATGGCAATAAGCGAGTTCAATATTAGGAAAGAAGGCAAAATAGTACTGCATGAAAATTAATACCAGCTGAGAGTAATAACAGAATTATGCTGTACCTCTTTTATGTCTTCCCCCTCATCATCGCCGTCTGAAATACTTATCTTGATATTCTCAGCAAACTGAAAGACGGATGGTTTTTCAATTGCAATCACATTTGCTAGTGGCAAGGCAACACGTATACTACTACCTGAGTTCTGTGCAAGAAATATACCCTTTCTCAGTTCGTCAAACCATTCTTTTTGAGAGACCTGTGAATCTGCAAACAAAAAATAGCGGCCTGTGTCTGTTTGTAATCGAATTCCGAATTTCTTTGGTTTATACATGTCAATTCGAATGACGCCCACAAGGTCGATACTGTTTAAAGGAAGATATTTTGATTCAGCAGACTCATACCATGATAAGACGTGGCCAGAAAGTTCAAAGTAGTAACGAAAGCTACGGGGTGAATTCACGTGATTCTTTTTAGTCAAATAACCTGTTTTATGCGGGCCTTTCTATTATCCATTCACACAGGTTGGTAAATGTTTTGATTGTTTGTAGAAATTTACCTTTTTTCCAGGTAAAGAAGCATAAAAACATACGTGCTGATTAGTTATGTACATCCAACCGGGTAAAGTAACAATTCTGATCATGTAGCAGGAAAATCCTATTGGATATTTGTTGATCTAGGTGTTAGGTATTCATTGTATCTCTTACTGTTTATCAGTTTATCATTTGAAGGCAACTCAAACACATTCTTTACTCTTTCTTCCATAGACTTTATTGTATTTAATTCGTTGATACTATTGTCGGTTGACGTATCAGATAGGGAATCTGACATACTTGTACTATCTATAAAAGTATTAGATTTATATAAATTATATAGCGCTACTTGTCAAAGATATATTACTACTGTCAGTTGTAGATGTCTATATAACAGAAGGTTAAGTTTTTTACTTTTATATAAGCTTTATCTTACATTATCTCGTTCATTCTTTGTAAGCATGGAAAATAAATAAAGTAAAGCGGAAGAAGAACGCTTTTATTCTCTCCCTTTTTATAAGGGAGCCAATGCTCCGGTTTTATTTAAAGTCAACTCCGTTACGGAGTTTTATATTGTAGTTCGCAGTAATTGATGCCCCGTTTGGTCATAGGCTGTTATTTTACGCCAAATAATATAGTCAAGTTCAAAAGGTAGCCAAGATGATCTTAGCTTACTGAATACACATAAACATGATTCTGTAACTACGCTTCAATGTATCATATAGCCTTACATACATATTACATCTAACTCTATTCGTATTGTTGGCTTTTATTGTTTTATGCATTTTATATAAACAGGAATTATTTTTTATAATTGTTATGCAAACCTATACTCTCATTGTCTGCATCTGCTCTGTCTTTTTCAGAGAACTTTCGCTCATGTTCAATATGTTCAAAGTATGCTTCATTCACATCTTTTGTCACATATTTGCCATCAAACACAGATGTATCAAATGTTTCAATCATAGGATTAAATTGACGAACAGATTGTACTAAATCATTCAAGTCTTGATAAATAACCTTATCAGCTCCTATCTCCTCTGCAATCTCATCCACGTCTCTTCCATGAGCCACCAGCTCGCTTCGTGTAGGCATGTCAATACCATATACGTTGGGGTATCGAATAGGGGGTGCACATGATGCAAAATACACTTTCTTCGCTCCTGCTTCACGGGCCATTTGGATGATTTCCTTGGAAGTGGTTCCTCTGACGATGGAATCTATCCTGTTTGGTTAACCTATATTATCGTATGAATATAATGCAAATACTTACCATCTACCAATAATACGTTCTTATCTTGGAATTCCAATGCCATTGCATTCAATTTACGACGAACGTTCTTGCGTCTATAGGTTATAAAAGTTATGCATCTTATGTTACTGTCATTCTAAATAGTTACTTACCTCACTTGTTGACCAGGCATGATAAAAGTTCTGCCAACATATCTGTTCTTGTTAAAGCCTTCACGATAGACAATATTCAATTTACGAGAGCATTGTAAAGCGGCGGCACGGCTCGTATCAGGTACCTATGATCGAATGAGTAAGACGTTTATAAAAAAATAAATGTACTTACGGGAATAACAACATCAATATCCATATTATCTTGGAATGCCTTTATGACTTGTTCAGCCAATGCCTCACCCATAGCAAGACGAGCCTTGTAAACTGAAATTCCATCAATAATACTGTCTTGACGAGCGAAATAGACGTATTCGAATATACAAGGAGCGATCGTCTGTTCAACAGCCAAGCGACGACGAGACACTTGATCACGAGTGATAATAACGGCTTCACCGGCCTTGATATCTTCAAAATCAGTGAATCCGAGTGCTTCCAAGACGACGCTTTCGGAAGCAAACATATAATCATAACCAGCCCCTGTTTGTCTTCTACCCAAAATCAATGGACGGATACCGTGGGGATCTCTGAAACCGATGATACCAAATCCTGCAATCATTGCAACACAGGCATATCCTCCTTTACATTGTTGATACAAATCTTTGATGGCTGTAAAGATATCTTCTTCATTCACTCTTA